ATTATGAGTTCTCTGAGCTTAGTCCCACACGGCCAAACACATGTATAAGACTCACCAATAAAAATAAAAAAGGAAAAAGTAAAAAATAAAAGAATAAGAGTCAGGCTCAACTGAACATTTGAAAAAGGGTGCGGTTCTTATAAGGCTGACGTCCTAAACAATCAAAGCAAGGCGTATCTTCAAATAGTGTCCATGATATTATTTCAATGGTGAAAATATTTGTAACAGCATGAAACTTTATTTCATCTTTAATCATAAAATTTAAAGTTTCAAAAATAGTGTAGATCGAGTAAATCTATGAACACTTGAAAATCTTGAAATTGACGGTCCAAATAATGCATCATAAGATGCGCAATTTTCAATACTTAAAATCTATTTTTCCTCATGCCCATCCATCTTGAGAGGTCAAGATGACTGATTTTTAGATTTTTAGGCATCAAAACGACCTCTTCCGGTGATGTTTTGAGGTGCGCCTTGATTTGATTGTTTAGGGCCTCACCCGTTCTTTTAACAAAGCATTGAGCTTGATTAGTTCGATGTTGAAAATGCAACATTACGTTCCCAAATTCGATTTCTACCACTGAAAAATCAAAATACAATAAACAAAACATGTGCCATATTATTGCGTCCACATAATGTTGTGCGTGGTTCAAAATTTTTATGCTCTAAGGGATAAGGAAGCAATGGTCAATACTTATCCACCTGGTCTTCCAAGTCCACATAAATGGTACCACAAATCCCCCTTTTCCTCACCAAATCATCCAAAGGTGCCCCTATACAATGTACATTTATTAGCTTTGGAGAGAGTATTATTTGGGAGAATTGTTTTGATCCAAGGTTTTGGATCCAGCCGATAACCACTATATAATTATTTTCAAAAAAAATTATTTTTGAGTTCTTAAAACATAAACTTGAGCATTTTTATTTTCCAAAAAAAAAAAAGATTTTGAGTTCTTATGCACTTATATCTAAACCGCTCAGAACTAGATAGTCCCTATTCAATCTTAAGACATTATTTTGTTTTTGTACATACAAATTGTAATGTTACCTTTTTGTTTCTTTTCTTCTTCGTTTTTTTTTTTTGAAGGTTAATCACTAGCTTAATGAAATTTTAATAATACATGCCAAAATTTGGGGTCAAACATTGCTCCTAGACTTGGTTTTACCCTAGGGAGCATAACGATCAAATGAAAACAATGCACACAAAAGGAAGTATTCATTTCATGATTACTTTCATGAGTGCAAAAGAGATAAAATAAAAAGTTTTTAATTTAAAGAGTTTTTTTTATACTATACTTGAATCTAATTGAGGATATTACCGTTAATAGAGGTGATTCTAGAATAAGATTCATATAGCCGGCCATAATCAATTGAGATAAAATTTGGACGATGACGATCTAGATTTGAGTTAGGCTACCCAAAAGCCTCTCTCTAAAGTCTCCCAAATAGGTACCTACCAAAACTTCTCCCTCTCAACGAGGTCCCATTGTAGTTGAATCCTTGTGTCAATCCTTCGTTAGCTTTGGCTGCTTGATGTTGCCATAATAGACATAAGATAATCCTTCATTAACTCGAGTGGGTAAATTAATGAAAAAATAGGCAGATTCAGCTACTCACTTTCTAAATAATCCACCAATTTTGTGTGGTCTTTTTTCCTCAGGAAATAAATGGATAAGACTGTGGACTATCCGACCAAACACATTGTTGGGTGGGTGGACAATTGAAAATTTGGTGGGTGCGGTTTGTATAGAGCCGAGGCTCTAAACAATCAAAATAAAGCTCTCCTTCAAATAGTGTCAATAGATATGATTTCTTTTTATGAGCTTTAAAATATATTTTCATCTTTAATTATAAAATTTGAGTAGATCTATGAAAATCTTGAAAATTGACTGTCCAAAAATACATTACAAGATGCAATACTTGAAATCTATTTTTTTCTCATGTCTATGCATCTTGATGTCGAGATAGTCAATTTAAAGATATTGGAGCATCAAAACAACTTCTTCTAGTGAAATTTTTTAAATGCGCTCTGATTTGAATGTTTAGAGCATCGACTCTATATAAACTCTTTTCCAAATTCAATAGGCCATGTCTACAAAACTGAGCACAAACCAAGAGGCCAAGCCCATTTTGTGTTGGGTAAAGCACGAGAAGCATTCTAGTATTTCAAGAGTTGCGATGCCCTTTATCTAACTACGAGACCTGGAATTGTTGTTTTGGTGTGGGGAAAGTATCGAATTGATTATTTGGGATTTAGAAAAAATAAAATAGTGTATGTATTATTGGGTATTTATAGATTTGCTCGGTATATACTAGTTTTTAAGCTTACAATTTTATAATCTAATTTTTCAAGCATTTGTAGGCGTTTTCAACATTGGAATTAAGTTTTTTAAACTTATCACAGTTTCAACAATGAAATTGCATCTTGCAGTGGGGTTTTCAGCTGCCGCTTCACCTTTTATCAGGCCTAACGCCATCTGTGCCCTTTTAATAGATGGATCCGGTTTCTATGCAGCCAAGCCCGCATACATAGAAATTCGGGTCTATTAATAAATCTATTTTTGATATGGATTTTTTTATTTAATTTGTAAAGATACGTAGTCTTTAATATGGATATCATGAATATGAAAAATAAATCAATTTTAAAAACTAAAAATAATAATTTTAGTAAAAAAACATTTGCACCCGTTAGTTTCCATTGTTTTTAGATGGAACACCTACTTGCATCCATATTTAAGACGGATGCTTTACATTTTCTGGACCGCATATGTAGAAACGTGGTCCAACCCACATAAAACAATTTTCTGCAGTAGGTTCCAACCAAACAATTTAGGGCTGGAAATGGGCCGCGTGACTTGGCTTTATAAAAATAGGGCTTATGCCACAAACTGTGATCCAAAGGCTAGATAGGGCTAGTGCCCACCCAAGACGGCCCAGTCGAGTTTTTTTTTATTTTTTATTTATTATTATTTTTTATTTGTTTATATTATTTTTGCCTTATTTATTTTTGGCCTTGACAGCCCTAACAGGGCGAGGGACCCGTTGGCATGACGTTACTGAAAATGACGTTATCGTAAAACAGAAATTCAACCATGAGGATGGAAAATTTGCAAATTCCATCTAATTATTGACGCACCATTGCTACCATAACTTTTGCAATACGGAAAGTTTTGCAATAGACTCATCAGGATCGTCACCCAATAACCATTGCTACCATAACTTTTGCAATAGACTCATCAGGATCGTAGTACAATTGGATAGGTAGGGGTCGCAGTGGCTCAGACCCGACGTGGAGGGTACGACAGATCTGGGCCCAAGTGTGGTTTCTAAAAGTGGACTCCGCGGGTTGGGTTTGGGTCCAAATCTTGGATCCAAATACTATTCGGATCCGGATTCAATTACGTCCGAATCCTGTAATATTTTTTGGGTCTCAATATATTAAATATATTTAAATATAGTTAAATACATAGATATTTTAATTTTAGTTATGGTTTGTCTAAGTCCGAGGCTCTAAGCAATCAAAGTAAAGCGTACTTTTAAATAGTATCAAACAATGGGGTTTCAATACTAGAAATCTTTGTGATAGTCTTAAAAAATATTTTCATCTCTACTTATAAATTTTAAAGCTTCAAAAATAATGTAGATCGAGCAGATCTATAAAAACTGAGAAATCTTGAAAATTGACGGTCCAAAAATACATTACAAGATGCACTATTTCTAAAACTTGAAATCCATTTTTTTCTCATGTTCGTGCATCTTGAGGTCATGATGATCAGAGAATATTTGGGCATCAAAACAACCTCTCCTAGCGAAATTTTTGAGGTGTACTCCCTAATTTGATCGTTTAGAGCCTCGCAATTGTATAAATTTTTTCCTTTAATTTTTAGGCGGTGCGACCCTATGGATATGAAAACCATTGCGACCGTAATTTATGATGGGAAAGGTTTCTATATTTTCCCTACAGTATGGAAGATCTATGCTTCTCCTACCATCTAGTCATCTAATTTTGATCAAGAGAGTCACTCACCGTTTGATCTTAGATCCAACGTCTCAAAGTATTTTAGTTTTAGTTTTTTTATACAAATTGTATGAATATGAAATTTGGTACGTGTCATCTTCTCATTTCGGCGCGCCTATAAAAAATATTAAAAATATATTTTTGATAAAATATAATTATCAAAATACCCTTTGAAACTTTTAGAGATATTTTGGTAATTTTATTTTATTAGAAATATCTTTTTTGTATTTTTCTCTGTTGCGAGTTTAATAGAGGATTGGAGTTGTCAAAATAGTTTATAGAAAAAAAATAAAAATTAAAATAGTATAGAGACGTGACATTATGATTGGGACAATCTTAGCCCTCCATTTGATAAGAGCAAACATATAAGTTTTATGATGCAGTGGAAGCCTATAAAGCTTGCCCATTTATGATAAGGAAAAAGTTTATATAAGGTTGCAGCTTTAAAATGTATGAATTACAGATGCACTTCAAAAATCTATCGAAAAAAGTTGTTTTAATGTTGAAAAACCTTGTAATCGATCATCTCGACAATAAGATGTATGAATATGAAAAAAGAAAACAATTTTGAGTCAGAGAAATAGTTCATTTTGCAGTACATTATCTAGACCGTCCATTTTCAAGATTTTCATATGTTTATAGATCTACTTGATTTTGATTATTTTTGAAGTTTAAAATTTTTTAGTTACATATAAAAATAGATTTTAGGATAATTCTAGAAATGTTTTATCCCAAAATTACACGTTACGATAAAATTTGAAAGTGCGCCTTAATTGAATCGTTTAAGGTTGCAACCTTATAGAAACTACACCCTTATGATAAACACCGCAAGTCACGCGACATCGAGATGAAAGCATGGAACCAGGTACAAGATGGGGGGCATTTTAGGAATTCAAGAGAGATATTTTCACGATATTTCAAAGTCAAGCTTGACTTGGACTTTTACGGTTAGCCGCCTCTGCATCTCTTCTATAAATACCTCACCACAATATCCATTTTCCGACCAAGCCATCTGTTTTCTGGCCATCCTATAACCCATTTTCCGGCATTTCACAATTTCCCGGCCACCATCGACCACTTCGAGGCCTCGCCTCCCTACATACATTTTCTTATCACCAAACAAAGGATTATTTACCTGAGAATCAATAGTTTTCCGGCGAATTGGCGCCTGAAGATGAAGCGTTTCTTAGCGTGCATTGGGCTGGTTATTCTATGTGTGGCAATAAGTGGGAGTGCCCAAAGTGCTACTAATGTACGCGCAACTTATCACGTGTATAATCCTGAACAGAATGGATGGGATTTGACACGTGTGAGTGCTTACTGCGCCACTTGGGATGCCGGGAAATCTCTGGCATGGCGGAGTAAGTACAGGTGGACTGCATTTTGCGGCCCTGTCGGACCACGCGGCCAGGCATCTTGTGGGAGGTGCTTGACGGTAAGTTTGATCTTCATGCCCACTTTTTATTTACAATTTCCACTTTTCTGACCCCTTCTCAATCTCTATAATTTAACGAGTTAGGTTGGGGTGGTACCACCCCAATGTCAATCCTATTGGCATCACTTCTTTTCTTTTTTTCATTTTTTTTTTTTTTTTTTTTTTTTTAAAAAAAAAAAGCTAACTCCCCTGATCTATGCGAACCTCGTTACAGGTGGATCCAATCCAGTTATTGAAATACCGCATGTTATATATATATATATATATATATATATATATATATTTGGATCTAAGTGGGTCCATATCCGGATCTCATTTTGGATCTGAGCAGGTCCAGATCCAGATCTCATGTATACTTGCCCAAGCCCTGTGATTAAATGTAGAAAATTACATAATAAAATTATTTATTTATGGTGCAAGGAGATCTCAATTTTTTTTACCCTAAAATGTGATGAGTAATTTGTTCTACAAGAGAAGTAATATATCGGGACCTGAAAAATATTCCCAAACCCAGATCTGACCCGATCCAAATAGTATTTAGGTCCAAGACATGGATTCAAATCCGGACCCGACCCACCAAGTTCAACTTTTAAACCCATACTTCGACCCGGATCGGGTCTACCCCTCTGGTCCGGGTCTCCACCTCAGGTCCAGGTTCATTGCCGGACTTGAGAGTTGGCATCACAACTAACCCTTACTTAAGGAGTCTCTAAACTATAAATTTTACCTAACTAAAAATTCGCCCTAAACTTTCAAAACAACCAAATTGCCCCTTAAAAGGTCTTTGATCCACATAAGCAACAATGACTTGTTAAATCCAAATTACCTTAAGGGCCCGTTTGGAATTAAATCCAAATTACCTTAAGGGCATGTTTGGATACAAGAAAATTATGAATCTTAGATATTTGAAAGAATTTTCAATATCAAAGATTTTTGTCATAGATTTATCAAATCTCTTGTTTGGATAAACTATACAAAATTCATGGATTCCTTGCAATCACTTCCATGTCCATTGTTTTGTAACAAAACTTGATATAATTTCTCTTTCTAAAATTTTTATATACTCTCTCTCATACTCAAAATTTGGGATAGTGTATCTATAAAAAAATTTGAGATAGTTTGTCTCTCTAAAATTTTGAAATAGTTTCTCTTTTTAAAATTTGATATAGTGTCTCTCTAAAATTTGATATACTTTCTCTCTCTAAAGTTTAAAATTTTAGATATTTTCTCTCTCTAAAACTTAAATTTTGAGATAGTTTCTCTTTAAAAAATTTGAAATAATTTCTCTCTCTAAAAATTTCATGTACTTTCTCTATCTAAAATTTGATATAGTTTATCTCTCTAAAATTTTAAAAATACTTTCTCTCTCTAAAACATAAATTTTGTGATAGTTTCTCTCCAAAAATTTTAAAAATAAAAACCAAAATTTTTGAGATAGTTTTATCTCTAAAAAATTGTAAGTAGTTTCTCTCTCTAAAAATTGATATAATTTTTATTTTAAAATTTTTAATATATTTTATATTTTCTCTCTCTAAAATTCCAAATTCGATATTGTTTCTCTCTAAAACTCAAAATTTGAAATAGTTTCCCTCTCTAAAAAAATGAAATATTTCTCTCGCTAATTTTTTTTTGGCAGTTTCTCTTTCTAAAATTTATAATAATTTCTCTCTAAAAATTTAAGAATACTTTCTCGCTCTACAATTTTAATAATACTTTCTCCCTCTAAAACTTAAGATTTGATATACTTTCTCTTTTTAAAAAATTAAAATATGAGATTGTTTCTCTCTCTAAAAGTTTTGAAATAGTTTCTCTCTTTAAAAATTTACATGTATTTTCTCTCTCTAAAATGTGATAGTTTATATCTAAAACTTAAATTTTGAGATAGTTTCTCTCTCTAAAAATATGATAGTTTATATCTAAAACCTAAAATTTGAGATAGTTTCTCTCTTTAAAATTTTGAAATAGTTTATCTCTCTAAAAAAAATTAGTACTTTTGCTCTCTAAAATTTTATCATACTTTCTCTCTCTAAAAGTTAAATTTTGAGATAGTTAATCTCTCTAAAAAAATTGGTATTTTTTCTCTCTAAAATTTTAACATACTTTCTCTCTCTAAAATTTTAACATACTTTCTCTATTTAAAAGTTAAAATTTGAGATAGTTTCTCTATCTAAAATTTTGAGATAGTTCATCTTGTTAAAAAAATTTGGTACTATCTCTCTCTAAAATTTTGACCTACTTTCTCTCTAAAAATTTTTAACATACTTTCTCTTTCTAAAATTTAAAAAACTTTCTCTCTCTAAAATTTTAACATACTTTCTCTCTCTAAAAGTCAAAATTTGAAATAATATCTCTTTCTAAAAATTTTGAGATAGTTTCTCTCTATAAAAAATTTAAGTACTTTCTTTCTCTAAAATTTTCATACCTACCAAATGCTTCCTATGTTTCGGGTTGAAGGAGCCAATGAGTGAAATCTATGGGCCTTGGAAATGCAAAAAACAGGTTTTGGTGTGGAAATGAAATCATGGGAAAATAGGCCTTATTTCCATGATTTTGATTTTCTTGATTTTAAGTATCCTAGTCATTAAGCAATCGAAACAGTAGATTTTGACAAAATCAAAGATATAAAGACTAAGTGCATATTTTGGCAGACCACTAAATGCGTTTAATTCTGATTTTTTAATACATTAGATCAGGAATAGTTCCACTAAATGTTTGTCTTTTTCCATTTTTGAACCCCACTTGTTTGAAAATTACTGCTAAATCTCTTTAAACCTCGGATACGCAAATGCTTGTTTTACTATTTATCATGTTTAATGCTAGGCAACAGTACACCTACTTGATCTTTATAGCAATACAAAAAAATGTACAAAGCCATAATAGCCTGAAAGGTCTAATATTGATTGCTAAGAGACTAACTTCTTTTTTCTTTTCTTTTTTTTCTGTTTTTTTTTTTGGTTCAGGTGACAAACCGAGGAACGGGTACTCAAAGAACAGTGAGGATCGTGGATCAATGCAGCAACGGTGGACTCGATTTGGAAGAAGGCGTCTTTAGGCAGCTCGACACCAATGGGAGGGGCATTGCCCAAGGCCATCTCATGGTCGACTACCAGTTTGTCAACTGTGGCGACTAAGAATTCACTACTTATAATAAAAATAAATAAATAAATAAATAAATCATGTAATTGTATCCCTTATGTTTGCTGTTTTTCTTTATGAAAAAGGAGCTAGCTAGTTATAAGAAAGAGAGGACTCTCTCTATGACCACTTCTCATTATAAACAAAGATGGACGCGGCTTCCACTAAAACACTTCTCTTGGTTATTTTGTTGCCGGTCTAGCTTATGGGCCAAAAATTATTTGGTGGAGCAAATAAAGAAAGCTCCTATGGGTCTGTTTGGATGAAACATTTAATCTTCAGTAAGATTATCTTATCCATTTCCATTAGTGAAGTGGTCTGGAAAATACTGCAAACACTCCCAAGTCCATTCAAAAGAAAGGAGAGAAAAACATTTTTTTTTCCAATTTAACCTACTCTAACCTACCCACAAATTAAACCTACTCAAACCTACCCAAGAAAAAAGCGTAGGAAAAATCAAGCGGCATAAATCCTGACCTACCAGTTAGTTAGATCAGAACAGGCCATTGGGTGGTTCCGATGACCCGGTATTTTAAAAAAAATCAAAAAAATTTATAAAAGTTC